GGCTAGATCAGTACCATGTCAGAACTGAGGTTCTGGAGGGAAAGTCCAAAGATATAGACAGTTTAAACAGGACCCCCTGGGGAATAGCCAATCACACTCCGCAGCCATCCCACCTAGCTCTTGCGTTCACTACCCCCCCACACACACATCTGGGAATATACAATCCCATTATCTACAATAGCAAGCTCTCAAGGTCGTTCCTCTAGGAGGAAGGCATCTTATGGTAGAGTCAGGGCACCTATGACTGAGTGGTTCACACACACACAGCCATTCACACACACACACACCCTCAGGAATTTCCCTCCCCCCTGTAACGATGGCAAACTAAGCAGAGTTTGACAGGTGGTGGTTGTGAGGATGAAATGGGGGAGAAAGAAATTATGTTGTAAGCCACTCTGGCTCCTCCCTGGGGAGAAAAGGGGAATGTAAACATCTAGATAAAGAAAACTTTGTATCGTGCCATCAGGCAGGTGGGTCTCTCTTGCCAAAGCTGCTTGCCTGGCACCTGGCCTTTGTAGTTTTGGGCAGATGGTTGGAAATTTGCCCCATCTGCACTGCTTTGAGCTCCTGGGGGCGGGGAGTACCTGGTCTGCCTACCGGGGGGCGGGGCATCTAGTGGATCATGTAAGACTAAACTCAGCTCACCTAAGGACTAATTAATACTGTCATGGTGTGGCATTAGTAGGTGCCCTTAACAGAGTGAGCCACTGACCACTCTGTCTCTTGATGTTCCCGGCTACACCTTTTCTCAAGAGCATGCTAAAAACCCGTGGTCTACCGCAGTGGTCCTTACTCTTGTGGAATCTGAGTACCTCAAGACTGTGGAGAAAGGGAAGCAAGTAGGGTTGCCACCTGGTGGCTGACCCCTGGCAGGAGATGGGGGGCAGGGACATGGGCCTTGTTGTCATGCCTGACGTGTCACTTCTGCGTTTCCCCCAGAAGCCATGCCATGTTGCATGTGGTGGCAGCAATTTTTTATTTTTTCCCCTGCTGCCCAAAGGAGCAGCAGCAGGAAGCATGGGGTTCTGGCCAGGAGCCCTAGTCGCATGGGCCACAACAAAATGGCTGCCCCGGGAGATAGGATCAGTCACAAAACGGCTGCTGTGGGGATGGCATTAATTAAATGCTGGGAGGTTCCAAACCAACTGTTATCCTCTGATTTGGTCTCTACAGACCAAAGCTCTGTGTCTCCTTGTGACTTCTGAAGCACCTTCTGTTCCAGTGAGGTGGAGGAAAGGCAGGATTGGTTGCTTTGGGGAAGAGATGATGAACACATGAAGCTGCCTTATACTGAATCAAACTGCAGTCCATTGGTCAGTCTCCAGGTTCTCAGGCCAAAGTCTTTCACATCACCTGTTACCTGATTCCTTTCGACTGGAGATGCTGCCAGCCAGGGATTGCGCCAGGGACCTTCTGCATGCCAAGCAGTTGTTCTTCCACTGAGCCACGGCCCCTCGCGGCTTTGTCAAAACAAACACACACCGGGGATCCCACTGGCGGGTGCCTGCAGATGCCATCCTGGGGGACATGGGTCTGTAGGGAAGCACTGGAGTTCAACTTAAATAAACTGTGACGGCCACGTACCTGAGGGTGCTCTAGGGCAGGCCTTGACAAGTTTCTTGGGCTCCAAGAGCCAGCCCAAACATTTCACAGCCAGACTTGTTTTTCAGTCTTCAGGGTTCGTGTTTTACTGACCAAATGTTCTAAGTTCTTGAAAAAGAGCCGTTTCTGTCGGAGCTCTCTCAGCCCCACCCACCTCACAGGGTGTCTGTTGTGGGGAGTGGAAGGGAAAGGAGTTTGTAAGCTGCTCTGAGACAGCTTAGAACGGCCGAAGTGCGGCTTTTTAAAGCTGCACCAAAAGAGACACGTGGCGGCGGGATCAGATAGATCCCCTGAGCCGCTGCGCAGTTGCTCCCCGGCACGATCAGATGCCGGGGGGAAGCCACTGCAGGGAGAGCGAGGCAGCTGAACTGCGCATGTGTGCGTGTGCACAGTTCGGCCGGGAGCCTCGATTGCTCCTGCAGACGGGCGCGCCGGCGATCTCACGGCCGCACTTGCTGCGCCGTTCCAGGTTGGTGCTACCTTTTACTTGGTGTTTGGGGGGGGGGGGTTTGCAGTGGGTTTTAGGCCAGAAGGGACGGATCGGGGACGGGTGCACGCCGATTCCCAGATGTTGCTGTGTACTCGCGCCCATTTGCTGCGCCCCCCAATCCGTCCCTCTTCCGGCCTAAAACCTCCCGTGTGACTGGGGCCTAAGTATTGCTTCCACAAAACCTAATCCCAGATTAACCAGTTACTCATTGTTATTGATTCTAAAAGTATATAAATAAAAATAGGGTTTATTCTGAGTGTCCATCACCACAACAAAAAGCTAACCACTGACTATGGCATTCACTCTAGAAACCAACTGGTTAAGAGAATCTTCACCACTGAATGGTGTAAAGTTAAGCTTACATATAATCAAGCAGTGACAAAAATAGGCATTTTATGCCGTACAACCAGCCATTCGGTGCTGAAGCGATGAATAAGCTTTGGGTTGGATCCAGTCAGCATTTCTGCTCAATTTCAGTCCATTCTCCTCTTTACAGCCCCATTACACACGGCTTTTGGCCAAGCAAGTCCCATGTTCCTAAACATGGCCTTTTGGGCTGTCAGAGGGGGCTGAGAATTGCTGATAGTCACCACGGGTGTACGCACACACAAAAACCCTTCGTGGGAATGCTAGGTGACACGGGAGAAGTGCTGGCACCATGGCAACCTGGGATGTGTCGAGCCACGTTTCAGAAACACGTCATTTGAATAGCAACAGTTACAAAGTTCAGAAGCTTTTGCCAGTTTGGGGGAAAGGCCAAAGGCAGGCAACAGACTTCCTTCCCTGAGGACCTCCCATGCTCAGAGGCACGCTCAGCTGAGACAACCTGCCAACTGTCCTGCTCTTCCCCCTCTCCAGGGGTGGCCTGGGGTATGAAGCACAGCTGGTTCCCCAGGGGGCTGGAGGGGCAGAGCCCACAAGTTCTGCTTATGTCCCTTGCAGGGCTAGAGATGTGAAGGCCTGGGGGGAAAACGGAAAAATTAGGGGGGGGAACCTTGGTTTTTTCTGGGGGTTTTTCCCCCAAAAATTGAAAAAAATAAAAGAAAAATTTGATTATGGAACGTTTTATTTTAACATATTGAATAAAATATTTTAAGACAAGGTGTTCAAATATTTTCCAAATCATTTCTAAAATATATATATATATGGTATCCGATTGATCTAATTTCTGTGCACTGAGGACAAGCAACTCCTAGGTTACAAACTGAACTCTCCAATGCAAGAACAAGATGCATTTCTTCCTTTAGGAGGTGCTATTGTCTGAAGAAAATAAAAAGGTTTCAGTTTTGTTTTTGCATGTGGGTGGGTATTCTGTTTGTAATAACTGTTTGGATGCACTATATTTTTAATATGCTAGTTGTGATAATTTCATGCCAAGTAAAAATGTCCACAGTCATATTTTATGTTCCTAAAGTAACAGAATGACTTTCAATCTAGAAAAGACAAAAGAAATGCTGATGTAGCATTTTTTTTTTCAATTTTTCCGAAAATTTCAGTTTTTTCCTGGGTTTTTTTCCGAGCTTCAAAATTTCTGGAAATTTTACATCTCTATGCAGGGCTACCAAAAATGTTTCAACATTATGCAACCCTCCTTTTTCTTCCACCATAGGCATACCTAGTCCTGACACATGCCCTCTCCCCCTTCCCGAAAACCCACTACCCAACAGACACGCTGGAAGAGTCAGGTTTAGGAGACACAGGAGAATATGGCACTGCTCCCCCTGGACCCTTGCGCAAGAACTCATGCTCTGTGACGTCCAGTAACACAAAGCAGGCCCTTGGCCACGCGGCAAGACTGTTCCTTCCCCAGCCAGCCAAACCAGACAAAGGGTGGCTGGTCCCAGAAAAGAGTTCCGGGAGGCAGTTGATTCAGAATCTCTGGTAACAAAATGGCTGAGAGCATGTGCAGAGTGCCTTTCTTCTACCGATGTTGCAATCCTGTGCATGTTTAAACAAGTCCAGAATAGCCAATAGGGTTGACTCTCAATCATGCGTGTATCGAACTGCAGACTGAAGGAGGGTTGGTTTTCTTTGGGTGTGACCATTTATGTGTCTGCAAGAGGGAAAGGAGGAACTCCCCCCTTCTGGTGGGGCCTGCCAAATGACTCAGGACAGAACTAAATGTGGCTGTTTAAAAATAAGAGCAATATTGGAGGAGTATGTGGGATGCTAGAACAGCCAGGATGGGAAGAGAATGCAAAGATTTGTGTGTAACAAAAGCGCTTCATACGGAAAAGATGGGGGTGAACAGCTGTCAGTAATCCAGTTGCAAATCAAGCACACATCTTGTATGTATCCTAACAAGGGACTCACCACCACCAGTGTTTGGGCTGCAGAAACGTTATGGATTATTGACCTGCATGCCAAGTATCAGCAACTCTGATTTGTGTATTTTCAGTTATGCGAACAGGTTCTTATACTGGCTCTTTGTTGTTTTCTCCGTCTGGGCTGGTTACCTTGAGGCTCTGGAAGCCCCCTGCAAAGCAGACTGCTGGAATCCTGGCTCAGCTGCTCTGAGCTCCTGGGTGGGAGAGCGATTCATAAGAGACTTCAAAAATTCTTCTCCTAATATTTGCTTTGGGGTTATTTTGGTGAACTTGTTAGTGTGAGTTCATAAAGATGAGATTTGACGGTCTTCTACTGCATGTTGTTCTGGAGATGGGAATTTCCAGTCATGCAAGCAAACCATTTTAAAATGGGCTGAAAACTCGGAAGTGCCAAAGAAGAGTGCTGGGAGGCAGACGACCCTCTCTGCAACAGATAAAGAGGGGCACAAACAGAAGCCAGCCCCACGATCCAAACCTCAGTAAACTGTTTTAAAACAATTGGGAAACAAGAGACCACCATAACGTCCTTTCGGTGGAACCAGGCAACTGTCGAGTAAGTGAACACAAGACAGATTTCAGTAGTATTTAATAATTTTAAAAGGTCTTACAAATGTGTATTGGAGGGTATGCGTATACACCATTATTAAATGTCAAACCTCCACTAACCATCCACTGCCCCATCCTATGAGCACAGTACAAGACCAACTCCCTGCATGTGGCAGAGTGGCTCCTGAGACGGATCCTACTTGCAGGGAGCAGAAAAGTAGCTCAACAAGTAACAGGTTTTCTACTCGCAAGGCATTTTGGACTCGGGTGAGAATTTTTAAAAATTATATAAAAAGCAAAATTGTACCACTTCATTGTGTTGAACATGTAGATCAGACCTAAAATAGTTCTCTATGCTAGACATTGATCTTATTGGGGGAGGGGGCGGCTGTTCAACTTCTGTTCGTGGGGGGAGGGGGAGACAAGCAACTTACCAGAGGATCACATCTGAAAGGACCACAGCTTATAAAATCTGAATATTCCCATCATTGCCTACTTAATCCTTAGACACAGCAGATGAAATTATTAGACTGATGGGTTTTTCCCCTTTTAAAGTAACTTTCTGAACAGGTTCTTCAAATCTCATTTTAAGACCACCGTATCCAGCATCTCCAGCCATATAATTTATTTCTGTAAAAACTGGGGCAGCTAATCAACGCTGCCAATTTTCCAGACCAGCGGCTCTTCCTCTCTGATTAAAGGGCCCACCGTTTACGTTGTCTTCCGTTTTCCTCCTGAGCTATACAAGGGATGGAGCAACATGGTCACAAGAAGCAGGAGTGGGATCAGCAAATACGGGCTGTAAACAGCTAAGAGCCAGAGGCGCTCGTGCCACGTCTGTGGTCCTGCGGGCTTGGAGTCTGGAAAGTCGTGGAACAAAAAGTGTGCCAGCAGGGGCACCAGTGTCGTAGCCACATGTGTCGCATAGACGATGGCAGGGGTTCGAATCCACTTGCAGTTACCTGGGTTTAAAAAGAAAGATTTCCAGTCTATTCTCTGAGTTCCAAATGTCACCGGTAGGGAAGGAACTGGCCTCTTCCAAACGTGCACTTACTTCTTCAGAATGAAAACACTTTGGAGGAAGCCCAGATCCTGCCACTTGGATTCACGTCTCTGAAATCACCAGGCGTTTACACAACCTGAACCCGGGGCCTCACCTTGTGCAGCTCAGAACTGCACCCCACAGCTGCTCTCCAGCAGAGACAGACCTTTCCCAAATTTGCTTCCAGAGATGAGGGAGATATAAGGACCTTCATAAATTCTTGGGGCTGTATTGTTTAGTCAGTTGTTTAAAGATCTTTTAACTCAGAAGTGTCAAACTCATTTGTTATGCAGACCGGATCTGACATAAGTGTCACTTTGATGGGCTGGGCCACACGTGTCATAAAATGTAACACGAGGTACCGGAGATATAAACTGTATAAAGGTGATTTCAGGTGTCAGATGGCAATAGCAGGTGAATGACAATAGCAGGCTTGGTTGGATTAGGTGTGATATGCAGAGGGGAAGTAGGTGTGGAGATACGAGTGTTTGTAATGAGACATGAAACCTAGGTCTCAATTCCATCCAGGAGGATGCAAAGAATAAACGTACATAAGTCTGACATTAGAAACCACAACATTCAGTCGCTGAGCTGAGAGTAGCAGTGCTCTTACAAAGGAATTTCAAAGGGAGATTAGAAAGGGAGACTGCTGAATTGCAATTGATAATGAAGGTCTAGACAATGCATCCTCCTGGACTGAACTGAGAGCTAGTTTTCCTGTCTCACTACCAATGTGTGCTATTATCATTTGGCACCTGAAATCACTTCTCTCTCCAAGATATGATCAATCCAAGTGTTCTAATTCCTATTCAGGGTCTTTTTGAAAGAAAATAAATCCAGATAGAAAAAGAGAAATCCAATCTCTTTTTTAAAAAAACAACTTTTCAAAATAAACCAAAATATCCTCAGTGTACCTTGTGCTTGTCAGAAGAATCTACCCTCCTTCCCTCCAAACAAGTGTGCTTACACACAAAAGCTTATACCTGGAATAAAACGTAGTTGGTCTTAAACCTGCCATAGGACTCCAACTTTGTTTTCTCTCTCTTTTTCCTCCCCCTGTCTTCCTTCCCAAAAGAGAAGGAGCAGCCCTAGAGAAGGAAGCAGAAACTTGTGTGTGTGTGTGAGAGAGAGAGAGAGAGAGACAGAGAAATGCTTGTCTTCATATCTCTCCCGCACAAAGCAGCCACAGAGCTCTGTGTGTGTGTGAGAGAGAGAGAGACAGAGAATGAGGGGGGGGGGAAGGAGGTGAGGCAGGAAACAGGAAACAAAAAGCCACTGAGGGAGCTGGGGGAAAAGCTACAGTGCAGCTGCAGCAGCAGCAGCCCTGGAAAGGAAGCAGGAGAAGGAAGTTGCTTGGGGGCCGGATTTGAGCCCTGCATGGGCCAGATTCAGCCTGCATGTTTGAAACCCCTGTCTTAACTGGTTAAAAAGGTGCCTCAAATAAGTGAGCAAAAGAGAAATATTTCTAATGTAAGTACTGGCAAATCTTTTAAATCGTAATGGTATGGTTGTTGAATGAATGAATAAATAAATAAATGTCTGGGTGGTGGGCATCTACTACCTGGCCCACTGACTCGCCATGTGGGGACTGACCCTGGGACCTTCCATATGCAAAGTACAGGCTTTGCTGGTGAGAGCGCAGCTTCCATCTGGTCCTGGTGGGATGTCGTAGAAAAGTGTCAGACTAGGATCTGGAAGACCCGCGGCAGCTTGCTGGGTGACCTCAGGACAGTCACTCTGCGCCTCGCCTCTCTGAGAGGCAGAGAAGAACAGGGCTGCACACTGTCCAGGGCCCTCCCCAATGAGGTAAGTAAAACATTAAATGTGGTTTTAACTAAATTAACATACTACCAATGGATGCAAAGAGGTAATGTACAATGTACAGATAAGCTTTATGAAGGCTGGGCAATTTTTATTACGTACTAGAACAAATCTTAGACATAAAACGTATCTTTTTACTTGTGTTTATTACTGCAAATACACTTTGCCTTTCCCCCTTCTTCCTTATGTTAAGCTATTATGTAATTGTCAGCAAGCTGCCATGGTGTTCTGTGTGACTTTTGATTGTACATATGTGATCCCTGTCCCTGCCAGCTGGCCTATGTGTTTTCCTGCTGTAATGCCAAAGTAAAACAACTGGAGGATGTGAGGGGGAGAGTATGCTTCGCTGCTAGCTTGTTACTTATCTAGCCTGAGAACTGCACCTGTGTTATGTCTACTGTTCGCCTGGTTCCCAGGACCTGAGCAAGCAACCGTTTTCTCCTGCCCGCCGGCGGGAACGTTATCCATTGGTTATGTATCTAACTTGAATCCCTTTATCATCTCTGCCCTAACTGCTTGTACCCAGTTCTAACAAGGAACGTGTTTGAGTATCTTTCCAATGCTTTGAAATAAACTTTACTTTCTTTGAAACGTGGATTTATTCTCGATGCTTGGGGATCCAACATATTGTTAGAACTGGGTACAAGTAGTTAGGGCAGAGATGATAAAGGGACACAATGACCGCGGTCCGGAACTATTCAATTTACGAGCATTCATGTGGGCGCTCCGGACTAGATTTGAGGACGTCAACGCGAGCCAAAGAGCAAGAGCGTTCCTGCGTACCTACAGGCAGAACCGGAATTCAGTTCG